AAATGATACAATTTAAGCTAACGAACACAGGAACACCCAGAACTCTGCTGTTTTTGCAGATGTTGAGCTAATATTTGAGGTGGTAGTAGCTGAGAGGCATCTGTAATCACAAAATAGCTGTTCAGGCTGAAAAATTACATTTTTTACTGATCTGTTTGGTGTGTCTGTTTCAGACTCAAACCTTTGCTGATGGAGCGAAAAAACAGAACCAGATCTGACCCAAACTAGTAGCTGAAATAAGCAATCATGTCTTAAACGGATCTCAGACTTTTTGTTAGCTTTTACACGCTGTTCCACTAATCTAGTAAAAGTAGTTTTTCGACACCTAATTACTTAGAAAAAAACAGTTTTTACATTTTTTAACTTAAACACATCGCAGCTCCCGCATGTTTTGTAGCAGGGAAGCTAACACTTTATATGTATGGTGTTGTCCCACGAGCTACTGTTAGTGTTAGCTCCTGTGCTAACATTAATAGCATAGGAGGCACGCCCCGTAAATATCCTTAGCTATGGAGCAAATATTATTAGCCTGGGAGCTAACTCAACAAATTATTAAGTTGGGAACTAACTTCATAAATAAATTTAAAAAGATGTAGCATTAGCTCCTGGGCTAATATTAGTAGCATAGGAGCTAACGCCCCAAATCTTTAGCTATGGAGCAAATATTATTCTGGGAGCTAACTCTACATAATAAGTTGGGAACTAACTACATAAATAAATTAAAAAGATGTAGCATTAGCTCCTGCGCTAACATTACTAGTATAGGAGGTAACGGCTCTTATATCCTAATAATATGTAGATTTAGCTACTGAGCAAATTATTAGCTTGGGAGCTAACTTTATAAATAAATTTAAAAAGATGTGGCGTTAGCTCCTGCGCTAACATTAGTAGCATAGGAGCTAAAGCCCCGTATATATCTTTAGCTATGGAGCAAATAATATTAGCCTGGGCGCTAACTACACATTAAGTTGGAAACTAACTTCGTAAATAAGTTAAAAAACACTTAGCGTTAGCTCCTGTGGTAATATTAGTAGCATAGGTGGTAACACCCTATATATAATA